AAATAAGAAAATAATAAAAAAATAGTTTATAAACACAAAAATGAATATTTTTGTTTAATAATGTCTATTTTATAATTATAATCTCAAAAAAGTAACAATATAAAAGTATTTTATAAGACAGTATACAAAACTGCTAGGCGACTGGGCGAGGCGAGCCTCCAAGGGCGCCTTGTCGCCTAGGCATCGCCTTGACAACTATGAGTGCCATATCCATTGTTAAATATGGGCCCTTAAATCATTCCCCCCTACTTCAAGCCATGTCCTTTTTGGTCTGCCTGTATCTCTTCTAGGCCCTTCAATTTGTAATATATCACTTCTTTCTGGTGCTATAGATGGTCTTTAGTCTTCCCTGCATGCCAATCAACTTAGTCTACTTTCCCTCATTTTATCACTATTGGAACTACTCCTAAGTTCCTTCACTTAAGTTCATTTCTGATCCTGTCCTGAGAGATGCTTTCTACTTGCTGCTATCACACAGCTCAAACCTTCCAGGTTCCTAAAGGACCTAACCACAAAATATTGGAAGATGGAACATGTTTCTTTGAAGGTTCATACCTTCTTTCATTATCAACAAAATCTGGGCCCTCAGCATAAGGTGAGGTGGAACATTTGAGGAGAATTTCGGGATCAGAGAGTTTCTGTAGTATAAAGGCATGTCTTCTCCAGTAAGGTACCCTATACAAGTGAAAGTAAGAGAACAAAGGATCAAAAATGAGAACATGAAGAATTCACCAAACATAAAAGAAGGATGAAGAAACATAATGCAAGATTGAGTAATGACGATGGAGTATATTGTTAAACCTCAGAAGTTTCTTTGGATGATTTACATTGTAGAATTAAAGGTCTAAAACAACAATTTTACCAAGAGCAAGGAGCAATTTGAAATCGGTCAATATGAGTATCATAAGTCTCTAGTAATTTCCCATTCCAACTAGGATCGCCACAGGACACAGTCACTCGTATTCTCCGGACAATTTCATCTGGACATCTTGAGCTTCTATCAAAAGTAGCTGGCTTAACTGATCCAGTGGAAGTTTCTACCTGAGAAGTGAAAAGGAACTAAGATACACATTAACATTCTCATTAATGTTTCTTCAAAACAGGATAATGTTATGATTTAAAACTAGCACTTATATTTATAAGGATAGATCTGCAGAATGTAAACCCCGAAAAACATAAATGCTCAAATGATTGCATTAAGATGCATGTTCTTTCAACAATTGTTTCGTTCTAACAGATCAGAAAAAAATAGTTGTCCTCATTTTAAATTATACATGTTAAACCTTCTCAGTTTGTGTGCCAAACAATAATTACCAATAGGAAGATGATATCTTTGCAAAAAACAGGGATGTTACTAGAGTGGAGGTAGGAAAAGCCATTTGATTGTTGTCTTATCTGCATCTTGGAAGCAGAAGATCTCAATCTGCATATCTAAGTGAAGAGCTGAGGCTCTAACTTTTGAAATGGCACATACCTATTGAGTAATCATTTCCAGATTTCTCCCTATTCCAACTTGATTAAGGAAAAATTCCATTCCATTGTTTTCACAGCTTGGGTAAATTTCTTGTAATGAAGAATAACTTATGGAGACTAACTAATTAAAGTTTACTCGTTGTTCATTTAGAGCTTCAATTCACATAGATAAAAATTACATTTTCAAGCACAACTTTTCAAGGACAATAACTTCTGCATTCCTGCCACAATAATTTTATCTATCAATCATTTCTGCCTTATGTTCCTTTTTTCTTTCTTTATTCCCTGTTCTTTTTCTTTTTCCTCTTCTTAAAAATACTGTTCTGCCCTTACACTCTGGTTAGTGCCTGTTGACAGGTGTATTATATGTATTGTACACAGGTTTAGTGCCTGCAGGGGTATTTTTGTAATTTTTTGTAGTCCTCTTGTGTTGTACGGCCAGTATAGTATAAATACAAATGCTTCACTCGCATGAAGTAGTTCTTTTTGAGGCTTTAAGTCTGCAGCCTCTTCTCTCTTCTTCTTCTTCTTCCTTCCTTTCTTCTTCTTCTGCTCAACATGGTATCAGAGCAGGACCGACTAGGCCTGGAAAACAA